TAATCTGAGATATTTTTAATTATAATTTTGCATGGCTAATCTCTTTTTCTATTAACAGAATAGGGAGTTAGGCTCGAAAATTAGGATAATCTTTTTATATGTAAAGCTATTATTAGGCGATTCAGTTACATACATGCTAATGTAGGTTAGGTTAGAAATTAAACATTCATTTCACTTAATTTTATTAATTTTTCTGATTTAATTTTTTTATTCATTTTCATTTTTAATTCTTTTAATACATGAAATTATCGGTATGATTGGTAAAATATGATAACTGTGACTCAAGGGCGTTAAACTATCTTGGAAACACCGCATCAGTTATTGTTTTTGAGCTTATAGTTTGAGCATTTCTATTTATATATATTCCTAAATTTAGTTTTTCTTTTCGGAATATAATCTGTGGTTCATGTAAATGAGAGCGCTTTTCGGGAGAGTTGTGTAGATATTGAAGTTGCAGGATTTTACCAGATACTTTTTTGTTCCGTACGTTTTGCTGTTACTCACTTTTTACTCTCACTTCAGAGAGTGATTTTGCTGTTTGACCTTTTTCCAGGATTTTACAGGAAAAGTATTAGATCAGAGCTATTATATCATCCATACATATGAGGCGATTCACGTCAAATGCCCCAAGCGCGCTGAGCGGTGCAAAACAAGCTTGTTTTTGAATAGCTGAAAAGCAGACAGAAAATGGGAAAAATAATTCAAAAACCATGATTTATATAGATTTTTGTAAGGGCTATCCGATGGTGCTACGCGTTTTCCAAAAATTTCCCATTTTCACGGTGAAAATTCGCAACGAAATTTTATTTGTATTTTTCTCAATTATGGTAATTTTTAATATTGTTTTAAGTCATCTCAATCGAAAGATCAGGTCTTTTTACATATAAATCATTAATAAAAAAGGGACTTTTTCATTTTTCCGAGCTATAAAGCGTATTATAGCGGGCTATACCAGTCGCCACGCTTCGTCGCGTCACGTCGACTCCGTTCGTTTGAACGAATTAAAACATCATACTGTGATGGGAAATTTTTACAAAATTTCTATTTAAACACGCTATATCTCAGACGTTTGTGTATCGATCGATTTGAAATTTTCACACAATAAACTTTCTTTTTATATTGGCTCCTACGCCATCACATCCTCCCTTCCCATGCGCTGTAGCTGTAGCTGAAAGTTTCCCAAAAACTGTTTCAGATATTTGTCTATAATGCTGCATTAAAAAAGAAATTAGATTTGAAACTTTAAAACACACATTTTTAATTAGGATAAAACCGCCCCATTTATTTTTATAAAAAAGTTCTAAAAACTGGCATTTTGTTTTTAATAAGTATTAAGAAGTTTTTTTAAACTTAAATTCTTTGGAATAGTTTTTAGTTTATTGTGTGAAAATTTTAAATCGATTGATACACAAACGTCTGAGATATAGCGTGTTTAAAAAATAATTTTGTAAAAATTTTCTATCACAGTATGATGTTTTAATTCGTTCAAACGAACGGAGTCAACGTGACGCGACGGAGCGTGGCGACTGGTATATATTTGGCTATACGCTTATAGCTCGGAAAAATCAAAAAAAGTCCCTTTTTTTATTAATGATTTATATGTAAAAAGACCTGATCTTTCGATTGAGATGACTTAAACCAATATTAAAAATAACCATAATTGAGAAAAATTACAAATAAAATTTCGTTCGAATTTTCACCACGCAAATGGGAAAATTTTGGAAAAAGCATGGCGCCATCGGATAGCCCTTACAAAAATCTATATAAATCATGGTTTTTGAATTATTTTTCCCATTTTCTGTCTGCTTTTTAGCTATTCGAAAACAAGCTTGTTTTGCTCCGCTCAGCGCGCTTGGGACATTTAACGTGAATCGCCTCATATGCATATTATACATACATATATACATGTATGTTCATCAGTTATCAACGGTACCAGTTAAAATGATTTCAGTATTTTTTTAAATTTTCGCCTTGCTTTTTTATCAAAATAGATTACTAAACCTATGCCTAAAACCATCTACGAATATCAAAACCAGGACATGAATCATGTATGACGACAATCGTCTGAACGACATCGTGTCGAGATTGTCTTGCTTCATAACAATCAAAAATTGTTTGATCGTTTGTGCGATATCGTCAACTCTATTCCAGTTTTGCTTCACGTAACGGTAACAGTAACACGTAACAGCAACACAAATACATAAATCAGTGTTTTGACAACATCGTTTTGTCAGTATCGTTTGAACAACTATCGTTTCAAAGTTACGTGATTCATGCCTAGTTGCAACAAATGAGTCCATACATATTTATGTGCATACATAGGTACAAAACCGTATGCATGTGCGGAGTTTAAATAATCGGAAGTAATAATCAAATGTAGCGCATTTCCTCTTACTATGCATATGCCTAAATGTATGCAACCATTTACAATAGTAAGCAAACACAGGGTGCTTCTAATGAAAAAAATTGTACGCTGAAATACACATGCTAAGCCCTTCGAAATTTTGTGCTGGGATATGCGTTACAGCTTCGCAAATTTTACCCCTACCGAAACCAAAGATATATACACATCAAAAAACAAGGCACATATTCGTTTACATACGTATGTATGTACACCCCGCGACAAAATGATACGATTGCTCAGTTTGGGCTACTTTTTTCACATTAATTTGTTACTTTAATAATTGCAAATTTTGTACAAAAACAGTCTTGATGATCACTGCGAACTGCGTGGCTTGCGCTAACAATTGGAAATTAGTTGCTATACATAAATGCAAATGTTCTAGTGCACTCGGTTGTCTTGATATGATTTGCCGCTATTTTACTTCTACCCTTCTTTTTGGTTTTACAATTTGCTTCACCACAGAACTCAAGCGCTATCGTCGCTGTAGCAAATTCTATTTCGAATGTTGAAGTGTTTGTATTCTTGCGCAACTTGCTATCGAATATTTTGTGTTGCTGTTAACGCTACCTGTAGTACGCCGTTTGGAAGTACTGCATAGTAGTAAAGTGTGCCTTTTAGAAGGTTTTGCGCAGCTCTTTAGTACTTACATACATGTATATTAGGGTGCCCATCGAAAAAGCTTTTTTTTTTTGGAAATTTCAAGACCCTACCCCCTTATTTTATTAGCTTTTATGAGAAATATTATTGCCACCCTTATTTTCCTAAAATTTCTTGAAAACCCACTTTTTTGCTAAAGACCGATTTTATATATCAATTTTGAATAAATATTAATGAACACCTTAGCCACACACACTGAGAAAAAGGATTAGTTTCGACAACTAAAGATATTTAGTTCCCGAATTTTGACAATATTTGGGAACTGTGACCAAGGATTAGGAACTATTACCATGGGTTGGTAATTAGAACTAAATATATTAAAGCTTCTAATATTCATCTAGGTTGTACCAAATCGTTAATTTAGTTGAAGGGTTTCGTAAATACTAATAAATATTTTTTTGAAGCATATTTCTACAAATTCCATTCAACTTAACGTATGGTTCATAAAAGGATGTCATTAAGCTCTGCTAATACAAATAAGCTTTCTTTCAACACATCGTTTAATCCATAGATGGGCACACCAATACAGTCTCATTTTGTCATGGTATTCGTGAATCGCGCTGAGTAACAGTTGCCACTTTTCTATATTGTACAAAAGTGCGTCGTTTTTTGCGCGTGTTAGAAAACGCTCTTACAAATTTATATTTAATTTGTTTTATGAACATGAAACGAAAATAATAAAATATAATAAAAAAATAATGAATAAATAAATACAAATAATGAATTATGAAATTAATTTTTATAAGTACATATGTACGTGCATGAAGTTTTTAATTTAATTTCATTAAACTAATGTTTTAAAAAATGATAGTTTATTCAACAACACTAATTTAAAATTTCTAAACTTTGTAAAAAACTCAGTATTCTATAAAGTATACTAAATATATTAAATTGCCGTACCGTACATACATATATACATAAAAACCATTACAAAAAACTTTTAATTGGTTTACACAGTTCGGCAGTTAGACTTTTTTACCATGACAAATAATGTCGCCTTATATTAAAAGTACGATTCCAAGTAGTCGTATTACCACATAACAAGCATTGGGCGTTATTGGCTTTTCTTAAAACCAAAAACTTTAATTGGCACTCATACTCAGACATTTTGGGCATTGTTACATATATAGGTGGCAACCACGCGCTAAAATTACGAATAAAAATATTCAACGGCGAAGCGTGGTGTCACTCTCATGAAATCTGAAAGCAGACTGAATTGAAATTCGCTGCGTCGTTTCTGTATACGTATAAGAACATATTCATGCTTGTGAGCAGTGTTGCCGTTTTAGCCCTTTGGTGGCTAGATTCAGCTACCACATACTTTTTTTGGTCAAATAAATTTAAAATTGCCCCTAGCCCTTTTTTTAGCCCTTTGGTGAATTTATTCATCCTTGGCATGAAAAAGTTCTATATGCTTAATTTGATCTATTTTTTTTAAGTAAGAGAAGAATTTTTAAACTAAGAAATACTGACATACATACATATCGTCGTTTAAAGTACAAAACCGCGTATCGTCATTCTGCAAAACCGCGTAACTGACATTGGCTGCCAAAAATTTGATTTGCTCACACAAGCTCTTGGCTCAATCCTTATCCATTCGTCCTGAAATATGCTATCCAGATATGCGATTTCTTTATAAAAAAGAGAACCATTTTGAAATATGAGTGTTTTACTCTCTAAAAAATAATGTATGCAACCTCACATACGTGGTTTTGCATTTTGCTGATACGCGGTTTTGCATTTTGTTGATACGCGGTTTTGCTCTTTAAACGACGATATGTATATATACTAGGGATGTGCCGGGTATCCGGTAGATATCCAGAATCCGGCCTATCCGGCCGTTTTTTGGTTATCCGGTTATCCGGCCGGATACTGGCTAATATCCGGCCGGATTCCGGATATCGATTATAGAAGATTCAATTTAGAAATTTAACCCAGATTTTGTATTTTTGTAATCCAATTTAATAGTATCTAATTAGTAATCAAAGTTTCCGCATTATCGGGCAACAACCTAATTCTATTTTCCACATAAATGTTACCCGATGCACTAAATACTCTTTCCGAGTTCACTGAGGAAGGTGGCGCGCAGAGATACTTCATTGCCAGTGTAAACAAATTTGGAAATTCTTTGCGGCTATACTTTCACCAGGTTAAGGGATCTTGTTGTATAAGAGGTAGCTGCAAATATTTGTCTATTTCAAGTTCATAAATCGCTCCCTTTTTTATGTACGTTCGCTGCCTTGTCTACCAATCGTTTGGCTATCCATATCACTAGAAACACTAGAATCAGCATCAGAGCCGTTGGCGATTTCCTCAAAGCATTGCCAAATATCCTCGTGAGCTCGATCTTCGATGGAAGCTTTCACTATAGTTCGGCATTTTTTATAAGATTCAACTGGTTTCCCCATGCTAACTGATTTATAATTTGGAATTAGTTCATCAACAACCCAGTTTTTAGCTTTATTGGCGTCAGAAAAAAAAACGAGTTTTGAAACGTGGGTCACAAAATGTTGCAATAGTGAAGCATTGTCGTTGTTGAATGTTTAGTCCTACAATCAAGAAAATTTTTTTATTAATAGTTCTATAAATACTTTTGATAAGTGAATCGCAATTTCATACCTTTTGCGACAGAGTCGCATTGGCTTCAGTTTATCAGGTTTATTCAGTGAAATCGCTGGATAAATTTATCAGAAATGTGTAAACGAGTTCCCATACAAATTTTGACAGTTCATTTATAAAGTTTACATAATTATAAGTTTATACGGTTTACATTGCATTTATAAGCTTTGATGAATACCCTTAGTAGTTTTGACTTTCATCTAATTTGATAGTCGTTTGACATGTGCTGTGGACCGTGCTGTTTGATCAAAATGATAAACAAAGTGAAAGAACAAGTGCCCGATAATTTAAATAAAAAGAAGAAATGAGCAAGAAAAGAAAATAATTCGACTTCATTTTAGAACTAATAAATTATTTCAAAAATCTCCAAAACCTTTTTTGTGGTGATACAACTTCAACAAAAACTGAAATTTTATGGGTTTTTTTACGTGTGTAAGTCAAACCATCTAATTACACAGACATATCTGTGCACAATAATTTAAATAAAAACACATAATTGAACAAGGAAAAAGTATACGACTTAGTATTAGTATTAACAAATGAATACAAAGCTTTCTTAAGCTTCTCTTCAACTTCATCCAAAACGAAAAGCTGAAATTTGATGGGTTTTTTGAAGCGTGTAAGTTAAACCATCTAATTACACAGAAGACAGTTTGATCAAACAATGTGACCATGTAAGGTCCATATAGGGCAACAACGTGTGCGATTCTGACAATGCGAATCTGTTCCGAAAAAATTACAACAATGCCGCAACTATTTATTGGAAATCGCAGACCTACGCGTTCGGAAACGAAAAAGGTTAATAGGCGGGTTCTGTTTAACAAAAATTAACGTAAGAAACCAAAACACCTTGATTGCTCAAAAGCAAAGAATTTGATGAAGATTGTTTTTGATTGTTTATAAGATGCCATTTTTCACTGCGATAGCATCGCACAGATGTGTGCATAATTGTGTTTTCGCAGTGGTAAATTCTGTAGCATCAGAAACGGTGCGGAGGTCGAGGTGAACTCGAGCCGGCAAAAAAACAATATTGGGAAATTTATTAAGGGCAGCAGTCTACCGGATGATTACGGTAATCAGTAAGAACCAGCCTTAGTGTCAAAAATGCTCGCTCAGTTTTGACCTGTTAAAAAAGAAATTCGTAAAGCTTCAGTGAATATGTACTTACATACTTGTGCATATGAACATCAGGGTGGCCACTATT